CTATTATGGGTACGCCTAGGGACACGAAAAAAGTATCGATACTTTGTGGTATAAAGTACTTTTCCTTTCGATACCGATACTTTTGTACTCGATACTTTTACTAAATGAGTACTTTTTGGCAAGTATCGATACCTTTGAAAATTTGGATAAGCGCTTCATATTGATGGCAACGCCATCTTGTTACATCATAGCAAACCTTCTAAAACGTTTCATAGGGTATTTGGCAAGTTTTAGGCAACGATCTCTCGTTATTGACTAATGTTTATGGAAAAAAAAATCCACGCGGACCAGGCAGCGGACGGGACTCGAACCCGCATCCTTCGCAATCCGGGCGAATGCACTGACCATTATGCTAATACGGCCCTATTAGCCGCGTCGAAATTTTCCTAGCGTTAAGCTGCAAGGCAGCGCCATCTCTTCGCATTGTAGGTAACCCACAATGTCAAATGAATACTTTTTCAAGTATTAAACATTTGAAAGAAGAAATAGCAACTATAGTTATGATTTTATTTATTTTTAAGCATTTAACTGCTAGATGTTTAAATCTAAAGAAAAGTTTACTAGAAAAAAATTATGCGAAGGATGCGGGTTCGAGTCCCGTCCGCTGCCTGGTCCGCGTTGAGCGCTTCGAGAGTCATCTTCTATATCGCAATTATATTTTTTCTTCACAATGTTTGTTTTCTGGCCTCGAGTAATGAGGGATAGATAAAGGTGTCGATTCTGCTAAGTTAATTTGATAAAAAGGCAAAATGACTGTGATAACCTCAGATTATGTTTATGTTATTTTGTGTTTTCGTACCGTTTGGACTGTGAGGACTGTGTCAAAAAGCAATGACATTGAAATAACTTTTGGATAACTCATTACATTCACTTAGTAGAATCAATACTAAGGTCAAATTCATTAATAAAAAAAAATGAAAATGTTACATTACTGAAACTAAAGATTTTTGACACACAGATTATTTATTAAACATTGAAATATTATTGCTTTGCCCATTTATAGGTACTTCTATCTACCTCCAGTACTTTTATTTACGCAGTTATAAATAAATCACAATGAAAATAACGAAAGCATGATTAATAAATTTTATTTAAATGCTTTAGTAACCATGTTTTAGCAAAAGCTAAGCATAAAAAATATAAATTTCACTGCTTATATCTAAATGGAATCTGTTGCATGCTATAATACTGATATTTAATAAACACAATTTTTATTGGATTAATTCTATAAGTATGATAATATTTTGTCTATTATCCTAAATACTTACTATTTTCGTCGTATAAAATTTTTAGGGTTCCGCATTAAAAGAGCAAAACATAAGTCTATTGCCGTCCTCTGTATGCCTGTCTATCAGTATGTCACGAGTCTCTAGATTGTAAACGGAATGAGTTACATAATTGATTTTGTGTATTTTATGTAAAATGCCTGTCCAAAGCCGATTATTTAGCCGCACGTAGCGTGTTTGAATGTCCAATTGTGACTAAAGCGAATTGTGGTCATGCACCACAATTTGCTTTTGAGCCACGAGTGCCCTATCTTCCCTTTTTGTTTTAATCTAAGCCTATTACATAAAAATAGAGACTACATAACTATAGTTATTAGAAAACAAACTTTGTTTTGTTAAAATAGTGTTGTTGTTCTGTGCTCAGATCCAAGTAAATATCATCCTTCACCTTGCCAGTCTAAACTCGCTACTATACCACGGAGCCAATGAACTTTACTCAGCATCAGTATCACACAAGACAACACTAAATAAAGTGTTACTTTACTGTCATGTATCTCTCTATTCTTCTTTACCATCCATGCTATGCGTTTTTTGAAGTGATATCTTGTTATGGGAGGGTAAACCGCTTCGTTACGTAATGCGTCATGGCACCAGTCTGTCTGGCTTCCCTTGTTTTCACGCATACGGCAGCCGTAGGTAGGCTCCTCCTCTCTCAATCTCTGCAGCGCCGCTTAAATTAGTTTAAGATCACGCCTGTCATGCGTCCCAACACGCCTTTTTACCCGGCTGCGCAATGCAAGAGCGCGAAGCGCGACGCGCAGACAGGGTTATGTGTTTAACAGTCTATATATGTATGTTTGTTCCTTTGTGGCACACTAGAGACCAAACGCCTGGACCGATTTTGATGATTCATACATCAATCGATTTGTCTCAATTATGGGAGTGCTACTAAAGATATGATAGTAATTAAAATTCAATATGGGCAAAATTGGGCGCCATATTGTGACGAAGTAAAAAAAAATAAGTTGACAAAATATGTCGAGTGGGGTATCACTGTCTAGATAATCAAAAATCATATATAGGTTCCTAACACCATTTTTCATTTTATATGATTGTTTAGGATCTACAACGCTTTAAATTTGTATATTAACCACTTACGCTTTTAATTTCAATCTTACGTTTGTATGGATCTTTGTTACTCTTTCGCCTAAAAAATACTAAATGGATTTTAATGAAACTTAACAGTAATATAGCTCATATATGATAATAACATATATATAATAATTTATGTAGTTATTGAGTGAATTGGCCAATATATAACAATAAGTGTCACATAAGACGGAAAAAAATCTTCCATCTGCGAGCCATTTTGGCCTGCACTGCAAAAACAATAAAAGTTACATGAATGTAATGTAGAGTGAAATGTATCTCTTAAATAGTTCTAAAAAAAGTCCGTGACACCATATATCTATTTTTAATGTGTAAGTCATTACCGCTAAAATAGTGAATCAAAACTAAAATATTATTTGATATCTATTTCCAAAATGCACATTTTGTATTAACAAATAGTTTTTTATCAAAACAAATACTTTTATCGCTTTTGATATTTAAAGACGATAAACTTTGCTTTTTACACTATGTCAGTTCGACAAATATTTAAAAAGTTACAACGATGACAAAGTGATAGTGCGGTGTACTATGTAAAAGAAAAAAAAATGGGCTATTCGCAGTATCTGATCCTATACGAAGCACTAACAATAAAACTGTGATACAGTTCCTTCTTATTAAATGATGAAAAATATATTATCATAATAGGTATTTATGATTATTAAATTTTAATGAAAAACTCAGAATATTACTGTTTTTCATTTTTTTAACGATATTACTTAATGTTACAAAAAAGGTTTACTTAATATAATGACAAATAACCCATTTTTCGCTAGTAAGTACATAGTTATTGGAATCCCTGTATTTATTAATCAGCTCCCGATAATATTGGTTTTGTAATAATTCTGCAAAATTCAAAGTAAATAATGTAGATTTTTATAGGTAAATCATCCCTTTCATCACCCTACGCCTATAAGTATTGCGATGTTGTAGCTAAGAACCAAGTTCCCATCTACTTCTATATGGGAATTCATTATATTCGATTTAGCTATTAGGGCACGGAAGCGCAACAAACAAACTCACTTTCGCATCTATAATATTATATTATACTTACTAATGATCCACCCGGGCATTGTACGAGCGAAATTTATTTATCGGGATAAAATATAGCCTATGTCCCTCGGACAAAATGTATTTAAATAAAGAAAAATGTAATAATAAAGAATGTAGCTACCTTATGATGAATTAATATTTGAAACCGGTTCAGTAGGTAGTTTGACAGATTATTTGTTACAAACATACAAATTTTGCCTCTTTATAATATTAGTATAGATAGTTAGGATAAGATAAGTATTTCATTGATGCAAAAGATTTAAAAATAAAGTAAGTAATAGGTTTATTTGATTATATTTGTAAAAGTTACTTAGCATTTGTGCTTAACAGTGATACGATACTCGGTATTTTTTTAAACAAAAAAAGAATTGGAAAATACTTGCCATGATTGCACTACTAGGAGTACTCTTCATTCGAGCTTTACACTACCAATAAAAAAGGGTCGATCACAAAGTCTTTGACCTGTTATATGTGAACGCTTTAGAAGAAAACTACAAAGATAACTATAAATTGATAATAAATGAGATTGCTATGGTGCTCTACCTAACGTTATGAAAATTTTATTATGCGCCTTTAGTTAAATCAAAAACTTTGCTTTGGTGATTGCACAATTATTTAATTTAGTGATCGAAGGCAGTTGCCACCATTGTCCAAAACAACAAACGGGAATTACTGCTTTCTTCAACCTGCGACATAAACGTCATTGATTGGTATTGTATATAGGGTGATTAAAAACATTTGAAGTTAACTTCTGGCATCTACATATTGGGTTTCTGTGAAGTAGGTGTTATGTAGGTATATCAAATTATGACACTAGGGACTGACACTGCATTTGTGTATATCACAATCTTAGTCGTCCGGCATTGACATGACAATGCAGCCACTACCAATTTTAAATAGTCGACGAACAAAAGTAAATGAACACAATTATGCGAAAATTTATTGTAGCCTTGACCTCGCTGGTAAAGTCTCTATATGTCTTAATAAATCAATATTTTAGACCGACGCAAGGTACTCAATAATTCCCGCGATATTAATTCCCTTACTGAAGTAACAAGACTACGGTATATACCGTCTTAAAATACTAACTAACTAAAAAGTGTGAAATAAATAAGATAAATTTAAAAAATCAAAAAACCCGACTGCTTAATTATACTTCAAATAAAAACTGAAAAGAAAAAAACAAGTCCAGTAGTCTATAATTCTGTTAATAAGGAACAAAGCTACTTTAACAGTCGGGACCTACTGTTGAAAAATATTATGTATTCTTGAATAAGGTCCCGACTGTTAAAGTAGCTTTGTTCCTTATTAACAGAATTATAGACTACTGGATTTGTTTTTTTCTTTTCAGTTTTTATTTGAAGTATAATAAAGCAGTCGGGTTTTTTGATTTTTTAAATTTTTTGTCCGGTTGCTTTGTTTTGGTTTTCACAAAAATAAAATAACCAGTACCTACAAGGACACCAGCGTCTCTCCCGTTGTAGATTTGCGAATCGATGACTTTCGGATTTTTAAATCTAACCTAAATAAATTATTTTAAGTTTTTACATTTTGCTCAATTGAAGTGCGTTAAGTGTATCAAAATACGTAAAGAATCATGTAATTATCACAATACAAATATACTGATCAAATTCTTTACAGAGACGTAGATTAGATACGTATGAACGTTTGAAATGGGAATTAAATGCTTGAAATGGATAAAAACCATTGGAATTTCAAAAATTTTTCAAGATAAAATTAAAACAATAGAACTGTTTGTAATCTGTTTCGCTAGGACACCAATATGTAAGAATTATTTTTAGTGTGTATTCTTATTGGCGTGCACGTTCATGTTAAAACATTTTGTTGATAAATTCTCCCATTGGCAAGGCAAAAAGTATCGAGTTCATAGTTCGTTCTTGTCTTTGGTATTATTATAAATTGTTCTTATTTTTGTCTGCCGTATCTTTTATCTTTAAATCGCCACAAAGTTTTGCCATGTTGTAATAGACTCATTAACGGCGTAGTATTAACGTGTATTTTGAAATTCTTTCACACATAATCTGGTCACTTCCCATTTCTATCCTCCATGGGCACGCCAGTATTATGTTCAATGGCATCTTGCTCGTCGTCTTCTACCACAGCCAAGTGCTTTTCTATTGCGTCAGAGCAGCAGTCTAGCCAACCTTGTTTGTACATTGCTTTGACGGTTCTTCTCCTGAACGGCACCAGCATCAAAAATATCATTATTCCCTGCATTGTATTGTAGGTGTCGATAACGAACCTGAAAATATACAATATTCTTGTCAGTGTCAAAGCCACACCTCAGAGAAGTTAGCCCCCATTTTTTTAATTTTATTATTATTTAGGTTGTACTGTATTGTTGTATGTCTGTTCTACATCGTTCCAGAGTTTTGTTTTCAAAAAATTCAAAGCTACTAGGCAAAAAAAAACGTTTATTTTATGGGAACTAAGGAAATTCAATATTTCGTTAGTTGGTTCAAGTTGTTCTAGTTGTTCCTAACATTGTTCCAGAGTTTTATTTTAAAAACAAAAATTTGAAAATACTTTAAAATACTATAAATGAAATACTTTTTCTGGTATATATATATATATATATATGTAATATGTTTAAATCTAAAGAAAAGTTTACTAGAAAAAAAATCCACGCGGACCAGGCCAGGTCCCGTCCGCTGCCTGGTCCGCGTGGATTTTTTTCTAGTAAACTTTTCTTTAGATAAAAACTAAAATTTCAAGCAGTTAGGCAAAAAAAAAGGGTTTTCATAAAAAAAACGCACTAAAAACAACAAATAAATCAACAAAGATTTAGAACAATGACGATTTTATCAAAATAACCGTGGGCTATATATCGTTACGATTTAATTTAATCGTTTTGTATAAAATTAATAGTTATCAGACAAGAAAAAATTTACAATAAAGGGTAAACCACCTAATTTTGTACATAAATAGGCATTTTTTATGTTTTTTTTTCTGTTAAACCTGAAAAGAAGCATAAGGCAATATTGTGGTATTAGCCATTGATTTTGAATATAAAAAACATATAAATTGAATATTTAAAAAACAATAAAACAACTGAGATATGCCTCGTTTCTGTCGGTTGTCTGGGTTTTTTTCTATGGGGCGTGATCGTTCTCCTTTCCAATTTCCCTTCTCAGCGCTCACTTATGTCATAAAAAAAAGGAAATTTCATACATTTCATGCTTTTAGACCCAGCGGTATCGGCTGTGCTTTGATTGATTAGTCAATCAGTCACTCTTTCTATTTATAAAATAGTTAGTAAGTATAGTGGTACAGACAAAACTTTTTAACAAAAAAATAAACCAGCGAAATGTAAAAACTATTAAACCTTTTTTATCTTTACTCAAATTAGTAAATGGGAACTCAGATCTATCAGACCTGCAAGGCACCGACCCCTAATATTAATTTGACGAGGGATAAGAATGGTATATTATTTTGTACTTTCCGGCGGTTTAAGTTTTTGGATAAAAGGTTTTTTTTTATTTTTTTCAAATTTATGTGGTACCAACTTTGGGGTTTACCCTTTCCAGTGAAAAAAGAATTATCAAAATAGGACTAATCTATAAAAAGTTATGCGTGATAAACATTAAAAAAATATACGTCTACTTGAGAACCTCCTCCGTTTTTTCGTCGGTTAAAAATTTATAAATACCGATTACCAACCAGAAATACGACTCCGCCGTAAGAGAGCTAATCATCTCAAATATCCATGTTATTCCCATCAGCACAAAAAGTCGTAGCGTCATCATAAACCTGGAAGAAGTTTTATTTTTAATACCAGTGCTATGTCACTCTATACAATGCATTCTTGCTACTTCTACTCTTCCTTTTGTGAATTCTTAACACTGCACTTTGCTACTCCTACTTTTCCTTTTGTAAAAATCCTAATGCGTTTGTTGTTAAGGATCTCATAGCACTCAAGCTGAACTGGGAGCAAAAGTTAAGCATACTACCTATAATAGCTGCAAATCTTCCCCGCAAGCAGGACGAGAATTGCAGAAAGAAATTCCAATAATTCTAATATGTGATAATATCACAAACCTACTATAGAACGGACCATTTCCAGTTGAAGCGTAACATTGATGTTACAGTCTATACCCATTAAATCCCACTAACTACATCCCACATGGACTATTTTGGGATCTTGCGTAAGGAATCATTAATAATCCTAATATCTCGCACTGATGTTGAATTCTGGCGGATGAGCGGAGCCCGCGACCGCGGCCTTTAAAAATTCGGTTTGGTAAACCTAATTTAAAGTAATCTAAAAGAAGAAATAGCAATTATAGTTATAATTTTATCTATAGATTTCAACATCGAGCAGTTACATGCTTAAAATATAAAATTTATAACTATAATATATAGCTAGGAAAATTTCGACGCGACCATCAGGGCCGTGGTAGCGTAATTGGTCAGTGCATTCGCCTGGATTGCGAAGGGTGCGGGTTCAAGTCCCGTCCGCTGCCTGGCCCGCGTGGATTTTTTCTAGTAAACTTTTCTTTATATTTAAACATCTAGCAGTTAAATGCTAAAAAAAAACTTTTTTTTTTGATAATTAATGAGATGGAAAATCTACATTCTAATACATTAAGTTACACCAATGACATATTGAGAGATTGAGGCGTTTGAAATTGTGCATATTATCGTTTTTTCCGTAAACTAGCTGCAGTAGAACGGTCAGTACAAAAAAAAGAAAATAGTATTTGCAAATATAACATTACATTATTAACTTACTATAGGAAGAATAAAACTACAGTTTACTTCTATTGGAAATAGTCAAAATATTTTCTAAGGGGGTAAACGAAGCGCAAAAATTACGATTTTTTGCAAATAATGTGTAAGGGCTCTTTAGGTACAAATCCGAACTGAACCACAGACCACAGGCTGCAGCTGCAGACTGCAGGCGACACTACTAGTTTCTATGAATCTCTATGAAATTGATTCCGATCGCGGTGACATGCCACAGCTGCACAATGCTTAAAATGCACGGTCAAGCCACTGGCGCTAGCCGCAGTGTCGCCTGCAGCCCATTGCGGAATTGTACCTTTAAGGTCTTAGATTAAAACAAAAAAGCCGCTTTTTTGTTTTAATCTAAGTTTAAGGTATAAGGTATATAGATAACACGACTCTGTGTTATGTTGTACAGTTTGTACACCTTTAATGAGATATAGTTAGTTGGAGTGCAGAAGAAAAAGATCAGAGGTAGACAACTTCCGAGATATATATTGTAAACAAAGTTACAGTTCAGGTGTAGGCTATTCTTGTCTCTAATGTGTGTTAATTATTTCGCGTTTCTAATTGCACTGTCTTTAAATAAAGAAATAATAATTTATAATTACGATAATATGACACTCTAGGTAAACGCGGGTCATTGACGCGGCCTGAGTGACGTTCGCGGTGTTAGCAAATTCTTATGTATAAGTAAACTGTACATATGTAATATACATAGATATAAGTAGGTATGTATGGAGAATATTAACTGAATATTCTTTTGTTTTTTTTTATTAAATTGCTCTCCCAACCTCGCAAGGGGCAACTATGATTGAACTCGTTTAAGAATTGTGATATAAATTTCTTAAATAGTATTTCACAAATTATTTTTAACATACTAATCTCAAAAAAAAGGGGTAAATAACAAGAAGGTACAGAAAATATTATTGACATGTGTCGGTGCGCCCCCTTGATGTACAGTTTTTAATTATATTATATGAGTTATCTAATAAACTTCAAACATGGCTTTAATGTATGTGCAATTTGCTGATTAGGTTTCAATACGAAATACAACCCGTTATTCGTTTTTTCGTAGCGTAAGCGTAGCGGGTTTTCCAGAATACTTATATTATTTCATAGGTACAAACTTTTCCCTCAAAAAAATAATCAGTCAAGCAATTCTCTGTCATACTTATGATAACATTTGATTTTATTTATATATATACCTACATTAAAATATTGTTTCAAATGCATACTTATACTTAAGAGCCTTCAAGTGAGTCGTCGCAAATGTGCTTCTCCATAGACAATATGAAGTGTATCCGAATATGCAAATGTTGGCTATTATCAATATTGACATCACACTGTACATATAATACCACTGGTTTTCTACATCTGTGAAAATAAAAGAGAATTGTATTCGGTATTTCTATATATTATGCGTGCATTTTGACTTTAAATTCTAAATCTAATGAAAATTTCCATTATTACCTTTCTTGATCTGGGTAGTTTTTTTTGGCAAACATTACATTAGTTTATTACTTATGATGACAGATGTAAAAATATGAGCTAAAGTTACACTTTACTTTCATTAAAAATTAACGTAATTAACATTACGAAATTAGTTGCATGTAAGTAGTTAGGTACGTGATATTAATTTCATTAGCAATTTAACGTGTGATGTTTACACTTCTTTATGTGTATACGTGTAATTAATATCACTTATCTACTTTCATGCCACTAAATGTCATAATGTAGCTTTTACACACTACGACGACCAAACGTCGAATATAGTTTGTAAGAGTCTATCCCAAAGTTAGGGACAAACTGAGCCCACGTACACAACGTACTGTTACATCCCTAAAATGTTAGCTGTTGAGCTGGCAGGCCAGCTGATGCTGCAGCATCAGCATTTTGTCCTCAGCTGACGCGCTCGCCTCTCGAGCGCGCCAGTCTCTCTCGAACCTCCGTGACGGCTGCCCACTTTACCTACACTTTAATTTCTAGTTTCGTTTCATGAATTCCTTTTTTAAAAAAATGCTAAATCCGAGGCTTGATATAACAGTACGCTACGCATTATGATATCTATAGGTCAAACAGAACGCGTACTTAGCGCTGCGTAGTAGTAGCGTTATAGCGTAGCGTTTTAACGTCGCGCTCTTTTCATGTCACACAAATTGTCTAGATTAGCCCAACGCTCCTTAAAGTAACGTACCATTTGCCAAAGCGTAGTGAAGATCGATAGCAGAGTGTAAAAAGTTTGTTGGTTTTGGATATGTCGACTGATTCAGATGCGAAAAAAATAATACTTTTATATGCTTTATCACGGTCACAGAGAAAAAAAAGTATGGATGCATGACTTGATTGATATATGTTATACAAACTATCCTTCTTATTATATAAGCATGGGTATTTTTTAACTAATTTTATCAAATTTTCGGACATTATGCAGTATTTTAACAAGTATTCACTCGGACGCTGAAATGAAATCTGTATAGAAATACAACGCCTAACGTTAAAGCGTCCCAACGCCGCGGCAGAGCGTTGCGTACTGCGCTGTTTGACGGTATTTTACCATTGTAGTACAACACATCTTAGCGTTATAGCGCGGCGTCAAGTTAGCGCTCTGACGCGCGCTAAGTAGTTCTGTTTGAAGTAGCCTTTAACTACGATATTTTTCTTGTCATACGCAACTTTGCGTACCTAGGCTTAGTTTGTCCCTACCTCAAGACTTTCTGTTACAATATAGCATACTCCTGAACAATAAGAAAAAGCATTTACAACTCAAATAGGTCTCATATCTTACCATAAAACCAACAGTGCATAAGTCCAATGCCAGGCCTAGGATGGTCACCCGGTACAAAGTTGATTATGGCCATGATCATAGTCAATACTGCAGGACAGCCAAAAGCGTACAGAGCGAACCATAAGAAACCACTCCATTTGTAATTTATTGTAGACGGCCGTCTGTAATGAAATAACGCGAATGGTTCTTTGGGGTCACTAGGGTTATTTGGGGTCACCGCTTTTGTTGACAAAGGAGACGGTTCAAAGTATGGAGGGGTAGTGAGTTTCCGGAAGACTCCAAATTTTTATGACATGTAGTGCACTTAATTTTAAATAGTTTCACAAAAACTTGTTTTTTTAATTTTTTTTTATTGTTTACGTAATTATTGATTGGCAAATGGAAAGTTCATTTATTTACTGTTTTTTGCCAAAGCATCAAATATATTGTATTCAGTAAGTGACTAAAGCAGTGTTATTAACTCTGTTCATATCTCATTATTTTATTAGCATATTATGGGGTATTTTATTTCAAGAAAATTCAATAATAATTTGGTATAATAATAACACCAATTTACAAATATCATGCATGACTGGACTGATTCACATCTGGCATATTGGTTTAGTTCACATTATAAGCTGATAAAGTCTGTTTTTAAATCTCGGAGACAAAAATGACACATGCAACTGTCAAGTTTGTAAATAATGATACCAGCTTTTATTATTGTTGTACCCGCGATACCGATGTTTAAGTTTTGATTTTTATTAGACGGTTTCTTTTTTATTATATTAATATTTTCCAAAATTTTAAAAATGATAACATATTTTATGAGTATATAATATTTTATGTGTTGTACATTAATACACTGTTTTAATTTTGAATTAAAACGGTCGAGTGGACCATATAATCGACGTTACCGAACTTTTATCATAGTAATAGATGTCAAGTCTGATGATGATGTTTCAGATAAATCATATCTGAATAGTATAGGGTTTTTCAACTAGAATTTTGTTTTCTAAAACAAAAAAATTAGATGATGATTGAATTACAAAGAGAAAAGTTCAGCAATTATGAATGAAAAATGATATCTTGCAAATGTCCACCACGAGCACGCTGACAGATGTCGATTCTTTCATCAAAGTTTTTAATCACTGTTTGGCAAAATGGCGGGACTATTTCATTAATCACATCACGAATTTTGAGTTATAAGGCTGCAATCGATTCGATTGGCTCCGTATACACTCTGTCCTTAAGATAATCGCAATCCCCACAAAAAATAATCTAGTGGTGTTAAATCACATGATCGGGCTGGCCACTTAACAGCTGAGTTTAGTGAAATTATGCGATCGGGAAATTTGGTTTGCAATAAATTGATCGTTTCATTAGCTGTGTGACATGTGGCGCCATCCTATTGAAACCACATATCGGTGATATCAACGTCATCAATAGAAGGTCAAAATTCGCCATTTGGTGGTTCTGGATAACCCCAGTTGAGAACGTCGCGGAATTGACAAATTTGGATCTCCCTCAACACTGTGGCTCACGGCTGCGATGCTTTCAGTTGAACGACCCGGTCGAACACGCGTTGATGTTGCCACATTTTGCATCGAGCCTGTCGACTCAAATTTAACGACCAAATTCTTAATAGCGGTCTCAGAACGACGAATATGTTGTCCAAAAATATCACGAATTTGACAAAATTTAACTGTAACAGAACCACTATTTTCATAGTGGATTTTAATTATTTTAATTCGATTTTCAAGCGAAATTGAATTCGTTGTAACAATTGCAAATAACTACTACGAATACGTCAAAAGAACTAAATGTGGAAACGATCATATTGTTGGTGTAGCCACAATTGAAAAACAAAGTTCTTGTTGAACAACCATATATAAATAACTTCAAATCTTTCTTTTGGTAAATAAAGTTGTATTCATGAATAATAAAAAAAATAAAAATATATTAACATATACTTATTTTTTTATCTGTACCTCAGCAGGCCTCTCATTACTCTCTTCATTTAGCATTTGCTACCGTCCTTTTACCGATTATAAATTAAAATGAATTCCATGTTTGTGATTTTTTTTTTACTTTTAAATGGAAATTGTGCACTTTAAAATCTGTTTTTATTTTTTGAAGTTATACTTCTTTAGGCGCGTTATGAAAAAATGATGAGAGTGAAATTTTAAGATGCGCGCGCATCACTGTAACACAAAAAATTAACAGCATGAACTTCATGCTGTTACTTTTGTGTTTACCGCACATTAAGAAAATCTACCAACAAAATAGAAATAGAATCTCTATTTAGTGGGTGCTAACGACTGCATTGTGAAGGCCTATCAAAAGTATTTATTAATCTGGAACAACGGAACCAAAGCGCGATTCAGAAGACTACAGCGCCATCTCTTGACCATTGGTGTAGTAGAACCAAAAACCACATCTTTATTTTTCAATGTTACTTTTATGTTATTATTGTAATAAAGTAACAGTTATAGGTATTCATATTTATAATATTTATCCACATGTTTCTAGTTTGTATATTCGGAATACGTGTTTGAGTTTCATACAAGTGCAAATCACATATGTTCTAATAAATTATATTCAGTAGCGATTTTAATTGAATATTTTGATTATTTATTTATTTTTTCAAATTAAAACTGAACTTTATTGACTGTGTCCTTTTCCAGACTTTTTATTAATTTATTGTAATTAATTATTTGCATGCAATTAAAAACTAATTTTAAACGATGCCAAAGGAGGATAACTTCTCACGCGCCTACATAAGTACACGCACCCATTTTTTGATTTTATATCAAAGAAACGACATATAGGCAGACATGCCGCTGGGTGGCAAGCGGTCACTGTGGCTCATAGATATTTTTCTCATAACTGGGAATCCGGTTCCGATAATGCTTAGCTACTAAAACTCTTTTAAATATATAACGATACTTAATATTTTATGAGCGTTAATTTCCGATAGTAGTTCATTATTATTTAAGAATAAACCGGCAATATTGCTCCCGCAAGCTTTACGGGCCCCCGCGATATTTACACGTCAATGCAACTTATAATTTTGCTTATATAATATAGACATGACACTTTTCATTTCATAAGAGCCATTCCAAATTGCAGATTTTTATTTGACGTTCAGATATATACTTTACTACTGGCTGAGTTATGTCTTATGAAAGTGCAAAATTTTTTCAACACTTTTGCTCAAAAAATGGATTCACGGCGGTTGTTTACTTTATCGAAATTTCATTTTTTTTTACAAAATTATGGGCCAAACAGCGGAGTGTGCGTATTCTTTAAGGCTTTTTTTCATTTCGATCGAACCTTCTAGAAAGTGCTTTTAATCTCAAAACATTGTCTCACTTTAATTATAAAAAGAAAAAGAAACGAAAGATGTAGTTCTAATTTTAACCATCCGCATGTGACGCCATTTAGAAATGCACTACATTTTCTTATAAGAAAAGTTTGCATTATTACATAAATCATGTATACTGTTTTCTCGCAAATCTGTTGAAAAACATTGTATGACATTCGTGCGGATTGGTTTTTACAAACTCGTGACTATCGTCTACTCGTTTGTAATAATCAACGTAAGATCATTTAGAGTGGCAGTTAAATTAATAAAATTTCTAGATATGAATTGAGATAAGATAATAATTTATGATCTAATAAAGTAAAAAAAGTAATAAAAAGATAAGTTTCGTATTAATCCACTTTACTTGCGTGAACGGTTTGCTTAAATAAATCCGTCAACAAAAGCTACAACTAAAAAGACAACATATTTTAGAAAAAAAATAGATCAACATTGACTCACCTTATACTCATTAATATTTGAATTGAAATGGCATTGCTCCAAAAAAAGCTAGCCATGAAAAAGTAATACGCTAGAAACCCTGAAAATAAAAAAGATGGTTTACCTATCTTATCTGTGATGAATTGTATAACTATGAAATAGCTTTACCTCTAACAGCACACAAATCCATTGCGTAGACGCTATACGGTATTAACTTCATGATCACTATCAACATCATTCCAAGACCCATGCTAGTGCAAAGGCAAACAATACTTTTTCCTAGGAGATCCCTGTAAAAAAATTGAATTACTAAAATTACAGATTTACATTGATACAGTAGCTGATTCCAGTTTTAGATGCCAGTGTCTATTTGGCTCGTGCGCAGTGTAGCCGATACTACGGCAATTACCGTGTTCTTCGGCTTTTTGATTGAAAAACTAGATAATCTACGTCCTACGGGCATTATCCCAGGCCCTAGCATATTCTACGGTTTTTAGCAAATAATGACATGTGATAAGATCGTCATCGATCACTTGAACTGTACTGCATCTTTGGGAGCGGGAAAAAACTTATAATAGCCACCATGCAGCTTAAAAGTTTCAGAAAGCCCTTCCTCGTTGAAGAGATGGGATGAAGATGGCGCTATTTTGTGCAAAGCCTGGTGCATATATTTAGAAGAAGGCTTATAATGGCAGCGTCTGGTTTCAATCACATCAGCACGGCGACCACACACGTACTGAAGAGTATCATCACAGCATCTTCGGAAATCGGTATCGGGATCTGTTATATGCTTCACAATAGCTTCAGAGACACTAAGCGAACTCGAATTCACCTCATTGACAAGATTGGTCAATGCTTCTTTTAGAAACTTACGTTGCATCAATAAAGCATGCGTAATTGCACCTAAAGTTTGTTCCGTCTTAATAATATTTTCCTAAGGAATCCAGTTAGGTGTCTTAGCTATAAGCTGTGAATTTACTTGCAAGGAAGTAAAAGCCTGAGTCGCTTGAAACTTCTTCTGAACTTCTAAATACCGAATATTAACCCAACTATCCTTGTCGAATCTTTGGCATTCAGTAGCTTGATTCAGCAAGTCAACCGGTGCAATCTAATAATATACGATTAATAATAATCTTTGGTTCCGATTCTTTTACCCTGGGTGTAAAATCAAATATGTCTGAAGAACATGGCGTAGCTTCGGGGCTAAAATCTGGTGCCACGATCGAGGAAGAACGATCTTCAAGAAAGTTTTCTTTGTCTGAGATATAGGTTTCTTCGGGTGCTCGTGGGGAGGTGTTGGGGACGTTTCGGTTCAAAAGCTTTTCCATCATTTCTTGCAGCGCCCTTGTTTATTCTTTGAGCATCTTTATGTCATCATAATCAGACCTTCTCCTTTTACTCTTCACCGGACCTTCGATATTACCTTTACGTTTCTTCGTAGGAATTTCGGATTTTGCTATGAGGCTTTCAACTTCCTGCCTCGAAATGATTCAAGGCCTAATTTCTCCAATCGACGCTAAGAACATTTCAAACTGTGCCGAAGAGCCATGGATTCTAGCTGCCATAGATTTAGGACCGACGATTAATCTCCACCAAACAGGGGCCAATATAGCATGGTCTGTTTTATGTTCGTGAATTGTTTCTCAGAGATTGTTGTCGCTTCAGGGTCAAAAGCTTTTACTATAGATATAGTGGGAATAGCAAAACGTAGCTTATTAAAAATTTTTTGATCAACTCGGAGTCCAAAAAGCTCTTCCTTTGAATAAGCTACCACTTTCCATTCACGCCAAGATGCTGGATAAAGCTGTTCTATCACTTCTATGATACGATCAAGAACTTGCCGGTCGCCAATGATTTCTTGATCTGCTAGTTGCCCCAAAGTTGTAAATTCTTTGGGAAGCGCCATTTTTCGTCCTGTAACAGGAAATAGTCATCGTAACAAAACTTGATAGTCTCGTAGAGGATCTATACTCCTTTCAACGACAAGTAATAAATCTGACTTCAACATGCGGACCGATCTTTTACGACGGTCATACAGATCTGATCCGACTGTTACCGATTTATAAACGACTGACAAGAGAGTTTTATCCGACGCGTTGCTGGTTTTTGTTCGACAGACAAGAAATCTTGGTCCGACGTATGAGCAGTTTTAGGACGACGGACAAGGAAGCTTGGTCCGACGGATTATCAAGCTTTAGTCGACGCACCACAACGTTCGACACGTCGGGTCGACGTTTTTTGGCCAACGGGCCACTGTATGCGGGTTGAAGAACCGCGGCACTTTTTACCATTTAGTAAAGAAATAAAAATACAAGGATATAATGCAAAAAACACAAAAAAAAATGGAGAAACACTAAATTAATACGCAACTACATAAAGCAAAGTTATCAAAGGTTATTTTACTGTAACCATCATATACAGGGTAGGTAGAGGAACTTACATTCAAGGTCGAGATCATCCGTCGAGTAAAAACTCGATCTCTCGAACAATCGCACTGTTTATTCACTAGCAACGTGTAATCTCTCCGCGGAAATACAGCGTACTGGAGAAGCCGTGCGAGTCGCGTTCCGGCTATGGCCTCCGCGTCCCTCACCCGCCTCGTTTGGGCGAGTCAGCGCGTGTATAGAAGCTAATTTGATGTGAAAAGGAACTTATTTACGTGTAATAACTCTAAAGATGTACAAGTGTAATCTCAAAGGGTCAAGCCGCAGGCTCAGACCTAAAATATCTGGGCCGTACGGTAACTGACACCAACAGAAGAGAAGAGGAGATCGACACCCGTATCCAAGGCGCACTCAGGTGCACAGCTGCTCTTCACAAGGTCTTGGTTTCCAAGCTATTACTAAGAAAGACCAAGATTCGGATCTACAACACAGTGATTAGACCGATCTTGATGTACGGTTGTGAGGCTTGGACGCTAACCCTATACCCTAAGAGGAGAATAAGTTGCTGGTCGCCGAAAGAAGGATTCTGCGGAAGATCCTGGGGCCGACTCAAAGAGAGGATGACAGCTGGAGAGCGCAGACGAACATCGAGCTGGAAAATCTAGTGTCCGAGCCCAACATCATAAGAGAAATTAAAACAGCTAGACTTTGCTAGATCGGGCATGTAGAGAGAATGGGAGAGGATCGAGCCGTGAAAAGGGCGTATTTGGGGCGACCGATAGGACGACGGCCCGTTGGACGTGCCAGATACCACTGGAGCGACGAGGTGCAGAGGGACTTGCAGTCTTTGGGTGCCGACACCTGGCGGCACCTAGCCCGGGATCGCAGAGCATGGCATCATCTTGTGTCGGAGGCCAAGATCCACTTTGGATCGTTACGCCGCAGCAGTAAGTAAGTAAGTATTTTACGATAGATTATAATCTATCCTAGTGAAGTCAATTATCGTGCGTTTAGGGTTTTGATTTAGTATTTCTGAGGGGTGCGGTGTGCATTTCTGGCATGCTTCGATCAAGGAAGCTAGAATGTCAGCGGGATACACGCAGTATACTGTTTCGATTCTGTTCCAAAGACGGGTCCGACCGTACCCATTCCGCGACGCCCCCGGCCGGGACGCACCCGTTTTTTGACAGGAAACTTGAACCAATACAGTTAAAAACTGTTTTTAAATTAAATTGAATGAAAGTGTGAGAAAGTACATGTGCTAAGAAACTGCCCTTAACGTGTATAAATATTTCGCACTAGCCCGTAACTTAACAATATTTTTTATGAAATATTACGTGTATAACTCTAATACAACTTTTGTGAAATAATCAAATATTTAAAAGTATAACAATTGCCTTCATGTCTGTTTCAAAAGCAAAATGTTCCGTTTTACTAAATAAATGAACAACAAATGTACCCAGAAAATATTTGTGTAAATATGTATATCGAATCTCATAATTTTCAAGATTGTGACTTTATCAAAAGTTCCTGAGCCTTTTTTCATAGAAATTATAAATATTCAGCCATTTACCATTAAATATTACATAGTACAGTATTTATACATTGCCAGGGCAGTCCCTCATACAAAACTTTACCATGCCCTTTATTTATTTTAAATATTTCCATTTTGTTGCTTTATATAGATTATGAAGATTTAAAGATTATGAAGTCCTCTCCAGTACTCGCTTTAAACAACAATTTAATTAAAATTAAAATAGAATATATATAATATTTTTAAAATATATTGGTAACCAATAGGAACACCGAACAGAAACAATGAAAGTCCATCTCAATATAGGTATCTATTGTTAAACAATATAGGTAAGAAAGTGACTTTTAATTATTATTAGTAAGATAACAATTACTTTAAAAATATTACCTACTTCATTGAATGTAGATAGACGTAGGTACGTCTATCTACATTCAATGAAGTAGGTAATATTTTTAAAGTAATTGTTATCTAGGTAATCGCTCACCACTACAGACCAGGTATAAACCTACTACTACTCTTTTTTAACATTTATGTTCACAACAGTACCTTTCTCAAGTATCTTGGAAAAAAGAAACAATGGGTGCTACCCGGAAGGGCGCGTAGCGGTTTTTTTTACGGTGCGTCCCGGCCGGGGGCGTCGCGGAATGGTGCGTAACGGCCGGTCCCGACTCAGTGGCTACAAACAAAGTCTAACTATAGTGTTAAACAATAAAATATGAGAGATTAATGTACGAAATAGCCAACTGAAATATTTGCACACCTGCTTGCAGGTAAAATACACGTCATCACACATGATGTACTATTACTATGGAACAAATTGTGAACTGGGTTACTATTATTAAATAAAATGGAATAATTGAAATATTAACAAAATTATTTACAGCTCGTACATTTTTTATCGAATTGCACTCTGAGGATTAATTGGAATCACCTACGAGTTATATGAAACAATTGCATGTACCTATCACACTTGATTATTTACTCATACAGAAATTCATAAAGTAATAAACGATTACCATTTAATAAAAGGCACTTTAGCAGCGAATTACTAGCCACTTTTCCATACATCTAGCCTTTAATAATATATTTAATTCTTATTTCTTCTAAAGAATACTATTCTATCTTTCTCATTATAAAAAAATATACTGAGAAAGGTAATGAAATAGCAAAATGAAAATGGTAGCTGATGCTTCTTTCACGCCAATGCCTCTTAATTTTATTTGAATATTTGTGCGATATCACAATTCCTGTGAAGCTAAACCGGCACTAGCTAGCGAGCATCACAGTTCTGTCCTAGCTAGAGAAAGCTGGGAATCCTATTCTTTCAATTCTTAGTAATATTGATAATTAAGGAATTTTTCATAAAACAATTATGTTACCTGAGTTCCGGAAGTGCAGCATATATTACAGCAGTTGCAAACAAAAACAAAACCGAGACTGTCATACAGTATCCCGCTACTTGGTTATTAACATTATCTGAGTCTTCCCCACATACTACAGCAATCTCCGTCAGATTTTTCAGTTCAACATCTTTCACTGTAGTCGAATTCGCTAAACAGAAACTGGAAAATAAATTGTCGACTTAGAGCGGAAGCACACGATTTTTGTCTGTTGTTTTTGTTTACATGACCTACAAGTATGCACTATGAATAAATATTTTTGTTTGATTACGTAAACGTCATTTTTTTTTCTTGGCAATCCCAGAGGAATATGAGATTTTTCCTATTTGTTTCTTAGGTTTTCTTAGATTTTTCCTATATGTGCCAAATTTTATACAAGTCCGTTCAGTCGTTTTTGCTTGCTTAACTAAACCAATCATACAAACTTTCACATTTATAATATTAGTAGGATGATACACATTGGTTGCATTTTTCTCAAGTACCTACAATGAATCGGAAAGTTTCCAAAGTTCCACGGTATAGGAGATTGGGTTCAGGCCAGCTAGACGAGGGTGGCTGGAGCGGCACTCTTTTCTGCCGCATCTGCTGACTTCGACTCCACCCAAACTTAACATCATATCGTGCGGAGTAATTTTGCTGCGCCTTGTAAACAACCGAACAAGACCAAGGATTCCGTACAAATTTGTAAGCATAGGTGCGCAACATAAACGGCAGTATCTCTTTTAATTTTTATTTGCAAGTTTGAATTTTTCACAGCTTCAAACCATAGACCTGAGTAGGTATATGGTTTAAATTTTAATTAGATACCACCACGTATTCTCGGGGAAAGTGTCTTGACAGACAGATGAATAATCCTTTCATACACACATTGTGCTTTGCCAACATACTTTAAAAAAGCAAGAGTCAATACCAAACAACAAGCCAAATCACTCGAGTCTGGCGAAGTTCACAAAAGTGACCGGCATTTTGCAAATAGAAGAAGAAGAAAACATAAACGGCCGTAACTTATTTTTACGCTAAACTAGAATTTTGAATTTTTCACAGCTTCAAGGTGTAGCTGTAGTCCAGAGTACTTATATGGTTTAAATTTCAACTCGTTACCTCCACGCGTTCTCGAGATCTTGACAGACAGACAGACAGATGGACAACAATGTGATCCTATAAAGGTTCCATTTTTTCTTTTAAGTGACGGAACTCTAATAATAAAAAACATGACTGTCGTTAAGAAGATGCTACGATTTGTGTATATTTTTAATTGGGTCTCATTAAGACCCTTCCAATGATATCTATATAGTAATAATTGGAAGACTTTTTTATTGAAATAAATATTTGACATTTTGACATTGCTACTATTTAATTTTAACAGTTTAGGTATCCTATGTTAACCGGAACGGTGAAAGGATTTTAACGATACCATAAACATATAAATCGGTTCAGATGTTTAGAAGTTATGGTGGAATAAAGAATCGACATACATATATACATGCACCCTGATTACATTACACTTTTTTTTCTTAGGCATTCGTGTATAAAGCGTCATCTCAATGTGAGAATGAAACGTATTCTGATTTTTTGCGGATAAAAAAACTTCCGCAAAAACTGCTGTTCACACGCAGACAAAATGTTAAAAATAAACCGCATACATTTGTCATTCATACGTAAAGACAAAAATATATTTAAGTTGATATCTTTCATATTACATAACAAAATAAAAACCTATTGAACATTTCAAAATAAATGTACCTTTCGATTTCAATAGATACGTTCCTATTATCCAAGTGCAAAAATAAAGTGCCATCACTATTAATTTGGTAGCGGAGCAACCGTACTATCTTCTTGCAATCCAACGTTCTTATATCCGTAGTAATATTTTTATTAGGATCCCAACAAACACTTTTCTTCTTTAACACAACTTGTCCCAAATCGCAACAATAATTCGGGGTAACAGCCACAGTTACCCCAACGAATAGAGATAATACGAATAATTTCCACATTTTTCACTTAAACATTATTATGTTTATTTTAGATTTTCGAAAACATTTTGAATTTTCGCACGACGTACACGTCCTGCTTACTATAACTACTTGATATTACTGGTTTTCCGACCGTCCGTGAACGAACGAACGAATGAATACAGAGCGTTAAGCGGTCTACACACCAAAGGCGATGAACCGGCGGCACAGCCCCGCGGCTTAGTGCCGGCGGGTTAACCCGGCGGCTTCAGAATGTCCAAGCCGAACGACTTTGCCGGCGGCAATGCCGGCGGCACGACAGCCGCGGCATGTGGTGTTCTAGTAATTGCCAAATAGTCGTAGAGATTGGACGTGTGTGTTTCGAATAATTCAGAAGTAGTATTTTCAGATTGACATGGAGGAGGACGATAACAGTGATTTAATGATAGCAGTTTGTGGAGTTATTATCGGTGGATCCCTCAACACACGAAAGTGTTGGGTTAGGCCAAGTTTAATGAGTCGCAATAAATACAGTACTGAGTGGAGAGTGGAGTGGGTGGAGCTTGCCCGCGCGGGCGCAAGCCGGCGGCATGATTGTACAAAATAAGGCCGGCGGGTTGGGCCGGCGATCCGTGCCGCCGGGTCAGCGGCTTTGGTGTGTAGAACGCTTTACAGTAATGGGCCTGCCACACGCACGAGCTTCACCACAGTTTTGCCTGCGCAGGCCGGTTTGTACACGGAACACGGTGCGTGTAGTTGGTAAAACTGTATCACGCGCCAACCCCACAGCGCGGCCTGCGCACTTTTCGACTTGCTTGAAATTTTGCCTGCGCAAGCCCGGCCTGTGCGTACTTGTCTGTTCGTGTGGTTGGGTTTTCAGTGTTCAAGCCACAGTCTTATTTTGTGTCGAGGCTCGCTCATCGTTTCATGAGGTCGTTCGTCATTTCCATTTTTATTTGTCCACTTTGATCGCTTGACCGCAAACACTTTAAAAATAGTAGCATAAGAAATGTTTCTTCATTAGGAAACATTGTTTCCACGCCAATGATTTCGATAAGAATGAGGCTTGCGCGTACTTAACTGTGCCGTGTGGTAACGCACAAAGTGAACAGTTTTTTCCTGCGAGATGCTTGAGCAGGCCAAACTGTGGTGAAGCTTGTGCGTGTGGTAAGCGCATATGTTTATCCTAGGCGTTGAGCAGACGACGGGGCGAGGCGGGCATTTTGTCCGCGAAGCAATAAAGACCGTGTCTGCCCGTCGATGTCTGCGGCTGCCCGCGCCGCGTACACAAAGCACACGACGGGCAGAGGCGGTCAGTTCAGTAGCTTTACCATGAGTTGACATCGAAAATTGACACTAAGTTATCACGGTCGTTAGCGTATACACACGCATCAAATAGATTTCACATAATCTTGTACCATGAGTTACAATAACATGTGATAAACTCGTTAGCGAGGGCTCGATAGTCCGTATTATCATATTTCACACGTGTCTAACTTCACGCCCAATGTAGCTGTTTCTTTCTAACTTTTCATATATACAGAGTACGATAGTTATTCCTGAAAATAAGATAATACAACTTATTTAAAACGTCGTAGAGCAAAGCGTAAAGTTTAGCTCTAGGACAACTTTTAAATTGTATTGGGTATATAATGCCGATGACATAAATTTAGTTTCCTTGTTGTTTCGGTGTGGCTGTTTGATTTCTTTTTATTTAATAAAATGAGAACCAGTGCGTCCCAATTCCAGTTAATGGTGGATTTTATGGAAAGGTATGTGTATGGTGACGCGCTGGTAACTGCCGGGGGCATAAAATAGTAATGCGCACAAAACCTGCATAATTATGTAAACAGTTAAAATATCGGCGTAGGGCAATACAGTCTTACAAGTTTACGAGTATAATTTCCAATTAGACTAACCTTGGATTCCAGCGAGACTCTCTGTGTTGATCTCAAATCCGTGTAATATACTAACAAGTCACACAAATCCTCAAAAGCTTCCTTATTAAGCTTATATTCTGTTATAAAGTTATTTTCGCTTATGTGTTTCAGGGGATTTTCAATTCTCTTTCTAATGTTAGCTTGAAAATTTGCTTGCTCGTATCGTTCATCTTGATAAGTAGCTGCCGTTATCATATTCCATGCGAAATAACTTCTTGCCGACATTATTTTCACCAAAACTACTCCAAACTTAATAATTCTCAAACACCCTTTCACGCCTCAATTAGGCAGTGAATTACTTAACTACAGACGTAAAGGTATTTCTCGATAACATCTGTCAAATTTGTGACTCATGGTACCGAATTGTAAGGAAACTCCTTCAAAACGTTACTCACCTATCGAATAGATTTCGATAGGTTTTTATTTGTTGACTCATACTACCGATTTCAGTTCTGTGAGTTTCCGCTAGAGGCGCTGTACATTTTTTCATAGAACTTTAAGGCGTTGAGCAGACGGCGGGGCGGGGCGGCCATTTTGTCCGCGAAGCAATAAAGACCGTGTCTGCGGCTGCCCGCGCCGCGTACACAAAGCACACGACGGACGGGCAGAGGCGGTCAGTTCAGGACGTTCGTTCTAGTAATAGTAATAAGCGCGTGGCGCGGACTGAGCTGACCGCCCCGCGCCGCCGTCTGCGTTACTGCATATAAACTGGTTTGTATGATCCACGGCGGGCAGCCGCGGACATGCCGCGCCGCCACTGCCCGCCGGGCACCTGCGGCGCGGTCTTTTTGCCCTCTGTGTGCGTTTGAAGTATAGGATTCACTTTGTGCTATTATTCGCGGCAAAATTGACCGGCCCGCCCCTCCCCGTCGTCTGCTAAGCGCCTAATTGTACAAAACGAATAGCTAATGTGTATACGCACCTTTTTAGGGTTCGGTAGTCCTGACAAGGAACCCTTATAGTTTCGTCATGTCGGTCTGTCCGTCCCCAGTTTTGCTTGGAGACTGTCAGCACTAGAGAGCTGTAATTTGAAAAATATATTTTTTTAAGCTAACTCCGCTACATGTAACCTGGGGAGATATTTTTTCATCATCTACTCCATCGTGTGAAATATCGTTGAATAGGTCCTGTCAAATAACTTAGGAGTTCCGAAGACTATTTTTCGGATCCGTTTGCGAAATATTGAACTTTAAAGTGCTAATTATTGTTCGAGTATCCTCCCTTCTAAAAACTAACCTATTGACTTGAAATATTCATGATATTCCTTGATATATATTATTATTTTAAGGAAAACTATAACGGTAAAGATAGATTTATTAGTTTAAAAGTAAAAGTCGTTCTACAACAAAATTTCTTACCTATTGAAAATTCCTTAAAAAACATTAATAGTGAAGATATTGTAGCGTAAAACTTTGCATTGCAACCAAATCTAAAAAAAACTATTTTTAAACCACCATAACATATCATTAGTTCCACAACGCTACCGCGAGTACCAACAGCAACAGCTTCTGATAACGTTAAGTTTTTATAAAAAGTATATAAATCACTTGAAAAGATCAGCAATAATTTCGCATCATCCCTTTCTCAGGGGATAATCGCTTGAACTTGAGTTTGAGACGCAGTTTGACTTTGATTTAGGTATTTTAGTTGAGATACATCGATTGATATTGATTGGTTGAAAATAAAGGCTCAAGTATATTGTAATAACTACAGGCAACTATGGAACCCTACTCTGCGCGTGGCACGACACGCACGACAAATTGTACCTTATAAAGTTTAGTTATAATTTTTATTTCTTAAGCATGCAACTGCTTGATGTTTAAATGTAAAGAAATTTTAACTAGAAAATATTCCACGCGGACCAGACAGCAGACGGGACTCGAACCCGCCCCTTCGCTATTCGGGCGAATGCAATGACCAATTATTCTACCGCGGCCCTGACGGCCGCGTCGAAATTCCTCAAGCCATTCTTAAGCTGAATTTATTTAATGAAATTTTTAATAATTTGATTTGAAATAACAAATATAATTTTATTTATTTCAAATTAATCTTATTATATTAATTTGAAATAAATAAAATTATATTTGAATGAAAAGAGGAATTTCGACGCGGCCGTCAGGGCCGCGGTAGTATAATTGGTCAGTGCATTCGCCCGGATAGCGAAGGGTGCGGGTTCGAGTCCCGTCTGCTGCCTGCCCCGCGTGAAATTTTTCTAGTTATAATTTCTTATAAAGTTTGTTTAAATTTTGTGTTTAAAGTATATAATCAAGATAATAATTCTTTTAATTTTGTTTCACCTAAAATAAATTAAAATTCTTACATAAATATACTGACGTCCGTGGTCATCTTACATATAATAAAATGATAGGAAAGTCAAAACTGTACATTGAATATTTTTTTAAAAGAATACTTGGGGTGTGATCTACAATCGATACCGAAGCCAGAAATATAGTTTTTAGAATTTTTGTCTGTTTGTCTGTAGGTATGTCCGAGATAAACTCAAAAAGTACTGCATGGATTTAGTTCAAGTTTGGTTATTAAGAAGTCGGGTCAACATATAGGCTACATATCGCACCTTTATTCCAATACTGTCATTGGTTAACAATTTAACAAAGCAATTTGATTGGTTAACAAGTAACCAGGAGTGATGTCTTAACGTGATGACACTGTTAACAGACAGTGTGCCAACATGACGGCATAGGAACTATTTGATGAAACGCATTTTACATTAGACGAGTAGTTGGTTACGCATGTCTTGGAACTCCAGCTTACCAGCGTACCAGCTTTATTTACGTGGTTGTGTATTGATATCTTTTATTTTTGTTGCAGTTACTACAAATGCTTAAATTTTACGCCCGTTTTGAGATAAGTGATGAATCCGGGGATCCGATGACGGACCGTGATATGACCCTGTTGCATTATTCCAGGATAACTTCACTACAGGTAATTTAATATTAATTTTCTAGTGGAAAAAAACCATATTCTAGAGAATGAAACTCATTAATTAAAACAGTAAGAAGGAACAGGCTCTATACCTAGAGCCTGTTCACATTCGCAAGGACGCTTTTTTACGCGCGTTGAAGTTGTAAAGTTAAACGCGGCAATTTTGAACTGGGCAACGTTGTATTTGCTCTGGGCTCTGGCGTGTGACGCAAGGTAGAAATCACAAGTTCATAACCTTATAAAAGCATCGAGATTCTAACGCGCTTAAAAAAAAGGGCTCATGCGAATGAGGGCTAAGACATTAGGTGCTCATAAAACAGCCAGTGGTATAGTTAAGATCATGAGACTAGACATTATTGTATATTCTTTAAATTGTCTTTTTCTCCTCAGAAAGCAGCGTTTGCCAAATTCCCCGATCTCCGATTATTTGCTCTCGCAAATGTGGCTTGTGTAGACACAAGGGAGACTTTACAAAAACACTTTGGAAATCTCAGGTGGGCTATGTATAATATAATGTATTTAAAAGAAAATTACTATTTCACTGTAACGATAAAAATACACAACAGGCATTTTAAACAAAAGTAAATATTTATTTATTTGATATCTCTCCTCCTAAGCTGCGTTCACGTGCTTCTTTGCACTGTCCGCGATCGCTTTCAATCGAATGCGTTAGCGCCGGCGCCCGTGCGTGAGCTTTTTCTTGTACAAGGCACAACAAATTAATTTATTCCACCGTATATTAAGTTTAAATGGATGCCGGTCCTTAAGATACCTGAAGCAACTGAAAAGTGTGCAGCTCGAGCTGTCTTCACTTTGCTGCCCTAAAGCCAATCCCCTACACCGGGAAGTCCTTGAATCTTACTCACCAAAAAAAACAACACTACAATAAGATAGAGTTATTCTACTGTGACTTCCAATCAGTTAGAGCTTACTTGCCCAGACAGGTGGTTCCAGGTTCCAAACGCTTTAGCGTCAGTTCACACCGTGACTTATTTATTTATTTAATGGTCTCTGTTGAAGTTACATATTAGAGCAGTGTGACCACATATGGGTGGCGGGAGATTTCAAATTGAAAACTGTTTATATTCATTAAATCATGTTAATTTTGCGTCAATACAGGCAATTGTAAAATATGCTGAATGCTATAGCTGAATATGTATACTTAGGTAATTTTTTAGTAAACAATTTAGTAAAAACTTGATACATCAAACAGATTTTTTTTTCTTGCAAATTGAATATTGGAAATTATGTTTTGTTAAAACAGTGAAAAAGCTCTTCGGGCAATCGCAACTTATCTAAATCTGGTACCTTTAGACGGAAAAGAAGAGGAAGCGCCCTGGCATCGTGTTGACAAAGACTTTCTCAAAGAACTATTAGTAAGTATTAATTTTATTTAATCATTGATGTCGATTCTGGCATGATTCTCTAAAGCTAAACTTAAATTTGACAACAGTGCATCCCTATCATTCTCTATACAGAATGAAAAGGAGAGACTGATGTAAATTTAGTTTTAGAGAATCACGCCAGAATGACACCATTAACTTATTATTAATGATATCTTGAAACTTTTCAAAATTTCTCAAATACGATAAACTGCTTTTTGCGTCCTCTTACCAAATGTTCCTTCCCATCTCTCTATAAAGCATCAATGAATAACGCTGAAGCATCAATGAATTTATAACTTCATGGTAATATTTACTCAATCCAAAACTACTCCTACTCTTAATAAATTATCTTATACCAAACCAGCGAAATAATTTGAACCTTAGTTTTAACAAACTGAATTTATTTTGGTTAAATTATCGCTTTTATTTCAAATTAGATATCACGGCATGAGCGACGTATATCGCAATTAGAAGAACTGAATTCAATGCCGTTATATCCAACCGAAGAAGTCATATGGGACGAGAATGTGGTGCCAACAGAAATTTACAGCGGTGAAAATTGCCTCGCTCTACCAAAATTAAATTTGCAATTTTTGACCCTCCACGATTATCTGCTAAGGAACTTTAATTTGTTCCGATTGGAAAGCACATGTGAGTAAAATAATTTATACTATTGTACTTTTCTCATTGAAGATTTTCAGAAAAAAATATTAGATGTATAATTTTAAAGCGAATTAATGTAAGTCTGTCGATTGCTGTTGCCTCGTATGGCAATGGCTGGTCTTGAATTATTGCCCGAATATTTTGGAAATTTGCACATTCTGAATACAAAGGGATGCTTAGCTACCCCTTTTCTTCTAACAAATTTCAGAAGATGAGTATTCGATAAATTATAGACTTTTACTATGTACAATGAAATGTAAGCAGCAAGCTTATTCTATACTCCTGTTTCGCTTTCAACATAGATATTTTAACTTATTCGTTTTCTCTAATATTTATTCAGTTTTATTTATTTATTATTTGGAAGATTATTAGACAAATATCAACCATAAATAACTATTCACACTGAATTAAACAACGCTATTTATCAATATCCACAAATAGGCTATTAAGTAAGTTACATATTCTATAAGATGTTACATAATATAGACAAAACAATAAAATATTATCAATTGAGCTATGAAGTTTATTGCAGTACATTTAAATTATATGGTGGCCGGCAACTAATATTCATGCGGCAAAGAATTGGTTGTTAATAAGTTTTCTAACCGAGGTATCCTGGAACACAACTGGTCAATATCTTGGGGTTGTTTCTTAAATGAATGTCAAAAATATTGTCTCATATCATTTGTTATTAAAATGTGTTTGACGTTTAAGTTCTGAGCAATAAAAAAGAATTATGTGGGTTCTTCTGTTCACATAACTCAGCGCGAAGAAATGTATAGAAAAGCTCGCAAAATATTTACATGCACTGGCCCGTAACAGATTCCTTGTAAAATTTATGAGGTGTGTTAGAAAAATTCGAAAAATTACACTGGCATATGTGTTTGTATGTGTAATTATGTATCATAAGGAGTTTAAACAGGTCGTGAATAAGTAAGCTAATATTTTCTTATTAACGTATCAGCAAGATTAAACAACCAGCGTCATAAAGATAATAAGGACTTAGATTAAAATGAGATAACCCAGAAATGGTCAGTACGGAAGTAATTAATGAAACCTAACAATTGTAAGAAACGTTAGTCACTGAGAGATTTTTTGACAAAAAATACCAATTTAGAAAAACAAAACAGACCTAAGATTTTTTCATGTTTTTGTTTCAAAATGGTGAAAAATCATTTTTTTTTTACATTACTATAATGACAATTTGGTATTACTTAAATGAGATTTGAGATATTCCTGTAATACCTCAACTCTTATTCCATTTATCACTAAAACCATCACAAATATTAGTGACAGTTAAGTTTTACGTCGATGATCCATCATGCGTCTTATTATTAAGTATAACGGCCTGCGCTGCTTAAAGCAGGAGCACGGAGCGGACGTCCGCTCCGCGTGCAGTTTTTATGTTATTTCATAGCACAGTGCCGCATGGGACACCCGCCTCACTCAGCGCAGCTCTATGAAATAACATGTAACATACACGCGGAGTGGACATCCGCTCCGTTCTCCCGCTCCCGCAGCGCAGACCCTAAACTGGCAATCCGCAAATGACGTTTCGTCAGAGCAGTTTACTCTAGTCCTAAAAACAGCCCTTGCCGAGTTACTTGCTGATTCTTCTCAGTACAAGGTCTCCCATCGTAGATTCACAATTGCTTGTAACAACCTAGACTAAATATATGATTTTGATTTTTGAAACAAGATGCCGTAATGATCGCGCCGTCATAAAAATAAAATAAAGATGTATATCTCTTCCAGATGAAATACGGCAAGATATAGAAGACGCCGTGTATAGATTAGCGCCATGGTAAGAAAACCAGTTCACGTTTACTAAAAATAATATATTGATTTACTTACCTTAAACTTGCTTTTTGTCTCTTAAAATGCTGTGACTTTGTTGTTAGCAACATTTGCAACTTTAAGTAACACTAAGCTTTAAAAATGGAACCTATAATTTTTAGAAATTTTAACTGAATATAGTTGGTCGCTTAATTAATGTACACCTTATTTAGCAGCTGTTTACAAATATCCTAAGAATAAACATGGGGTGAACATACCAAACAATACTATCGAAAAGTCTTACTAACGGCCGATAACTTCCTGTGTTTCTTGAGGAACACAGTTAGCCTGCTTTAATCACTGTACTTTATTCTCTTCAATGTACGGCGATATATCTACATATGTTTTGACTATTACCATCAGGCGTGCAGAAGATGGAAGCGTATATTTCGGAGGCTGGGCTCGCATGGCGCACCCTATCAAAAGCTTCGCAGTAGTAGAAGTAGCCAAACCAAATATTGGTGAAAAAGCACCATCTCGTGTGAGAGCAGATGTTTCTGTCACATTAAGCGTTCGCAATGAAATCAAGCACGAATGGGAGAGTTTGCGAAAACACGACGTCTGCTTCTTGGTCACAGTGCGTCCCACACAAGGAATTGGTAAGTTAAAACTCTTGCCCCCGTAGCATGAACACCACGATATATTATATAACACGTTCTTATCACGCTCAATTGTCAAATTACTATGGAGTTTGACAGTCAGGCGCGATAAAAAACGTGATATAGTGTAAATTGCAGTGCTCATGCTACAGGTAATGATGTCCATCATTTCCCAATCAGTTTCTTTAACTTTAATGAGACTTAATACAATAATAATGCATTTATTACTTAGTCTTAGATTCTTGAATTCCTCATTTTAATGTACGTACCTATTATTGTCGAATAAAACTTTATCAAATATAAATCAGTTCCTATTTTACCTGCCACGTAATTTTTTGTCATCCGAGACTGAAAATTGAAAGCCAATAAAAAAAATCGAAACTCCCGTGAAATCGACAGATCTGGGTTAGAAACCCAAGTCCAGTATCCATTTTAAAGTTGACTCGTAGACTTTCATTGAGTTTTTACTATTTCCTTCCCTATTGTTAACATGAACTGAATGTAACTTTGGAAATTTTCTGAAATTTTATAATATTCCATCCTTTTTACTGATCTTCTCTCAATTTTTTTTTTTTCTTACTAATACTAACTTCTTTACCATGAATCCAAGTCTTTCAATGTTTGCATCAAGCTGCAGCAATCACTAACAAAACAAATATTTTTGATCTCAAAACTTTTAACAGGTACTAAGTACGACTATAGGAAGAGTATGGTAGACCAAGCTGGGGTAGTGTATGTGCGCGGGTGTGAAGTTGAGGGCATGCTGGACGCTTCTGGGAGGGTCATTGAAGAAGGTCCGGAGCCAAAACCAGAGTTAGACGGAGACTCCAGGACGTTCCGCTTACTGCTAGATCCTAATCAGTACAGGCTTGATTTGGATCGCGCCAGCAAAGGGAATGAGGTGAGTTGTGCCTGAAATAATTCATTCATATAACCTAATAATATCGACTGCTGGGGCACAGGTATTCCAGGTATAGATATGGTGTTGCCGATGTTAATTTTTTTTATAGCTTTTTTGTTTTTATATGGTACTCTTTTTGACATTTTGTTATTCGCTATGTGCACGACAGTAGCGCCACCTACAATGCGCAACTTTCCGGGATTATGCCAAATAATAACATCAGTTTGTATTTTATTGATTTCTAGTAAATATAGTAAGGTAAAGATAAATAAAAATTATTATATATTGTATAATAATTTAAATAATGTCGGATTTCAATTCGGAATTCAGTACAGTCAATAATAACTCTTGTATTGATGTAATCTGGACTGAAACACTTGGGCATTGGTGCTTGTACGGTGGCTCTATTCGGCCAAAAGATTAAATTAGCAGTTGAACAAGCTAGATTTTGTAAGATCGAATGAAATATACGTGAGATTGTGGTTTTTTTGTACACCAAATAACACACTCAATGCTGAAAATGTCAAGCCAGTTTTCATTTTTATCAAAAAAATCAGAAGTCGGTCTTTAGTGGAAACTGTACATTTTCTCATAGTTAATCTTGTTAATAAAAACTCAAAATTGCTAAATGACACACCAGAAGGATCTAGGAGTTCTTGATCATTTGTTATTGATGAAATACCAACAAATTCTTGACTTTTTGTTTCGGTAGATTGATCCTCATACGATTTTTTGTCAGTGCCACAGCTTTTATCTTTCTTTCATGAATTATTTGTCATTAAAATTCTTGATGTTGGATCACAGTGATCACTGTAAATTAATCTAATACAAATAAAAGTTGTATCTCTTAATTTCGATTCAGAAAACATATTGACTTGACATCCTTGATCGATCATAAAAGGTTGAGTTTGATTTAATTCACTCCCTTCTTCAATTATTATTTGACTTGATGTGGTATCTGAGACTTTTGTGGTTCTTCGTTTTGTCAAGCGTGTATATCTAGCTAGGACCTGTGAATCATTAACCTTCCTCTTTCGATATATTTCAGGGAATATCGTAGGAGCATAACTCGGATTTTCTTCCTCGTCTGATTTTTTGTTTCCCATAAAATGTTCACTACAAATTGTGTCGTCAGGTTTGGGATACCATGGCGACCCATCAACACTAAAATAATAAAGACAATAATGAATATCACATAAAATATATAGCGCAAATAAAATTGATCATAATTTAAGGTTATTTCGCTTACTTATTTCTTTTTATGGCATCTATCCATTTATTTCTTTGATTTAATTTCCAGTCCAATGTAGGAAATATATACACAGACTATTTGTGCCCTTATTTTTGCAATTCACAACACAACAACATCTATTAATAGGCATTTTAAAAAATTTTTGTTTATTACGAACTCCGTGCAAATTGACTTTACTTTCCCGGATTGTTGCGTATTTCTGCCACTATAAGCGCTGCGATCGCTTCACTATACCCCCACCATGTACTTCGCACATAGCGAATACTGTTGTTTTCTTTGAGACATATCAGAAAATTATTATATTATATCACTGAACTCGAGTTTAGTTTTGTAACTGTTCGGTACAGATGGTATTGGGAGAGTGGGCCATGAATCAAACAGACCCAAGGAGTATTGGTGAGTGCTAGCGACTGCACATGCAGCTAAGACCAACAGCGTAACCCGCTGTGCTGTAAAGCACGGAGTAGTGAGAGATAAATTAGTAATAATGGTCACCACCCATTCAAAAAACTTAACTTCCACGATCGCACCGAAAGCGTTAATCTGCACCATTGAGCTACTTAAATAAAAATAATGCATTATTTACGGATAAGCAAATGAGAGAATTAATTCGAACATGTTTTACTTTTTACAAAAATATTTGAAGGCAATTCATAGATATCATCACTATGGAAGAGAGGATAAAGAAGATGCGTACAGCAGTTTGTGATTACGATGCGCTGTCTGTTCTACTTATTTATATTTTTTGCCTAGCCACGATCGACTGAACTAATAGTTGCTACCGGTCGATCGCGATCGACTGGATGGCCACCTATAGACTCTTTCGAATCTTGCGATACCAAAGCTATTACCTACCCTGACCCAATCCCCTACCCCGGGGAGATTAAAGCTTTAGTTTTAGAAGTATTGTAATGCGATAGCCTTGTTTCCTGTCTGTTACATAGTATTGCAGTCCAATTACATTATTTCATGGCGCTGTGTAAGTTTTCGTACAATTGAGGTTGCCAAAGAAATAATGCCACAGTTGGCAACGTATTTGCCATATTTTACTGGCTAAGTGTAATTCTATTGTAAACAATGGCAAAAATCAACAATAATATAATCTATATATATAAAAATGAAACCCGTTTTCCGTTGTCACGACATAACATGAAAACGGCTTGACCGATTTGGCTGATTTTTTTTTGTAGTTTTCTAATACTCTGTACAAGGTTCTTACGGAAAAAAATATAACGAAAATCTCTCAGAAAGATTGAAAAATATAACGTAACGAATGTCAACGTCATTCAATTTAAAAGCTATACAAAATAAAGTAGTGCATCAAAGCTACGCTAAGGCGGTATGAAGTTCGCCGGGTCAGCTAGTATAATATACAATACAAAGGCAGCTTTTTTGAAGTGCTAAACTGGTAACTAAGGCTCACTTGTACGAAAGTTCTTATTTGAATTAAGGTTTGTTAAGTTACACCTCGTTCCATCTTTTTCCATTATTTCAGGTCAAAAAGAGAGAATGAGGCTTTAATGGAATTAAGAACTTTGGTGCAAGTGGGGCTGAGCTTCAAGTGTCAATTTTTTTAATATTATATCTGATCTGTTACTTCTTCATATCTTTAATATGTGTTGCCGTGGCCGCCATAATAAAAAAATACACAAACTTAAGAAATACACGACTATCCATACATAAAATTGTCAGTGACATTTGGTTTCAATGGGTATTGGTCTGCTATCTTATCTTCTGGTTTAATATAAAATTAAACCAATGCCAGACATCTATTGTATTAGGTTATACCATTATTAAATAAATAAATAAATCTATTTGCGGTAACTGACGTCAATATTTTTATTATGGATTCAGGGTTTTGCTCATACTAAAATTTTATGGTAAACTATTTCAACGACGCTTTGTATCATAAAATTTCGTGAAACCCATTTCATAAAAGTAAATACATATGAGTGGTTTTATTGGCCGATACTTTTTATTTTAAGTGTTAGTTTGAATTCATTTGATTGATGACTGTTTTGAGAAAATGCTTTTTAATTTTGTTGAAATTGGTATTAATTATTTTTTAATTTGCTTTATATGTAAATCAATATTGTGATCACAAAATTAGATACTTATTGAATAACCGAAACCAAAAATCGTAACTAATCGTTTACTCGTAAGGAACAAAAGCAATAAGAGCCTACGCTGCGTTAAGCGAGAACACGGAGCGGGCGTCCCCTCCGCGTGCAGTTTTTATGTCATTTCATAGAACATTTGGCCCCTTAATTTTGAACTTTCGAACAATGTATACAACCTCCGTAAATTTTTTTTTTTAAGCAATTATTGAAATTTAATTAATATAATAAGATAAACATTACACACACTACCTTACATTTGAAACACGCACAATGACTCCTCGATAGAAGAACTTCACACTCAATTTAATATTAATTAAAGACGTATACTTTTCAACAGAAGAATAAGTGAGGTCTTATTTCTTGATCTTTTTATGAACTAGTATTCATAAATGCAGAATGTGGGAGCCATAAAAATATAAAATAAAATAAATTTAAGTACACTTCAATTCGAAAAGCAAACTATTCTTAGAGCTTATACAAACGCTCGTTTGTAGCATGTGTTGTTTTTCAAAACATTACCTCGTATAGGTACTTGCTGATACAGTCCAGTATGCAATATATTCGTAGTACGAAATTCTATTTTAGATCTTGCAGCGCTGTGCTGATTTACAATTGCTTTATATTGAAATTATTCATAATAGAAGAGCATTAAGTATTTCCGGATTTCAGAGGACATTTTTTGTAATAGTTTTTGCATAATCCAAAGTTCCTCATCCCTGTTTACGGAATTAACGAATTACAAAAACAATAAGTATAATATTTCGTTGTTAAATCTTACCTTTATGCCTCTCCCACATCTGCGTGACGAAGCTTTGGTATCTAAGGCCGTATACAGAAGGAAAGCCGAAAGCCGATCGGCACCGATCAGCGCCGGTCGGCGCTTATCGGCGCCGATCCTTCCTACATAAAGGAAGCCGATTAAAGCAGATCAAGCAAAATGTCGGACTCATCGGACGATGATCTGGTTATGTTAGAAAATGTTTAAAAATGCGAAAAAAAGCTTTACATCCTATAAATAGAGAAAGGAAACGTTTCGGAGAATACCATCATTTATTTGTAAAAAAATTGAAATTTGATGAACAAAGATTTTATACATGTACAAGAATGATTCAAGAAACATTTTATTACATTTTGGATTTAGTGAAAAACCGTTTGATGAAAAATTGGTGCAATTGGTATAAACAACCAATCCTTCCAGAAGAAAGACTTGTTGTCACCATTCGGTAAGTACGAAACAAATAATTTTAGCGCTTAGTTAATAAAAGATAAAGTTATTAGATTTATAAAAAGATTATAACTTAGATTGATTTAATCTAAGGATAATAATTCAAATACAAATTATTTATTATTCGGACCAGCGCGTGTCGGCGCTTATCGGCGCTGATCGGCGCCGATCGGCTTTCGGCTTTCTTTCTGTATACGGCCTTAGGGTACGGCCAGAGTGCACTCAGATTCAGAGTCAGATTCAGATTCTGAAAACAAGTGCGAGAAATAAACAGTGTAGTCTAAGCAGGTTGCCTGCTTTTTCTCGCGCTTTGTTTTCTGAGTCTGAATCTGAATCTAAATCAGGAGTGCAATCTGGCCGTACCCTTCGACTACACTGTTTATTTCTCGCGCTTGTTTTCGAA